CTGCCTTGTTTGAGATTTGGGTCGGCAGTGCGCTCAATGCGTCGACCCATATATACCGGCGTGGCCGGCTGGCCGCCCTTTTCCAACAAATAGCAAAAAATTTGCATTATTTCACATACAAATTTTACATTATTTCATAAGCAAACATATAGTTCATAATCAAATAAATATTATAGTTTCAACCAAATAAATAGCATAGTTTTACAAGCCAAATAAAAGTAAAATAGTCTCTCGCATAGTTTTGCAAGCCGGATAAAAAAGATACATCTATTGGTTACCAACATGAGCCCACATATGCTCAACCAAATCATTTTACAGTTGCATGTGAGTTTTTCAATCACGCATGCCATGATGAAATTGGGTGAACTATTCAAACGTTGTCGCTCCTCCATTCTCAGGCACAACATTCTCACCTTGAAACTGAAACCTTGATCGTAGAGACGTTCCGGGCGCTCATCTTATATGATCATATTGTGCATGATCACACAAGTAGTCATCATCTCCCATAGTTTCTTCGTGCTCCAAGTCTTAGCAGGATACCGAACGATGCCCCATCGAGATTGCAAAACACCAAAGGCACACTTGACGCCCTTTCTAGCACTCTCTTGCTCTTCGGCAAATCTTTTCCTCTTCTCTCCGACATGGTTGGGGATTGTCTTCACAATAGTAGTCCACTGAGGATATATACCGTCACCCAAGTAGTATCTTTTGTCGTAGTTGTGGCCTTTGATGGTAACATTAACCGGTGGGCTGTTGCCTTCGGCAAGCCTAGCAAACACCGGCGAGGGTTGAAGCACGTTGATATCATTGTGTGATCCGGCCATGCCAAAGAAAGAGTGCCAGATCCAGAGATCTTGAAATGCCACGACCTCAACTATGACAGTGCAAGCCCTGACATGGCCCTTATACTGCCCTTGCCAAGCAGGAGGCAGTTCTTCCACTCCCAATGCATGCAATCTATGCTGCCAAGCATCCCTGGGAAGCCCCTGCCAGCATTCATCGCCAATAAGCGGGTTGTATATTGGGAGTCGGCTCTCTCAAGTACTAGGGCCAAAGACAGCAATAACAACCTTGCAGAACTTGTAAAGGGAGTCTAGGCATGTAGACTCGCTCATACGGACATACTCGTCAATGAGGTCAACGGGCACTCCGTATGCAAGCATTTGGATGGCTGCAGTGCATTTCTGATAAGAGGAGAAGCCAATCTTTCCAAGGGCATCCTCTTTGCACTCAAAATAGTCATCGTAGCCGACCACCCCTTCTCTAATACGGTTGAAAATATGCCTACCCATACGGAAAATGGCGGCGGAATTTCTGATGTTTGAACAACAGGTTGGTTGTGTCAAAGTAGTCCTTCCAAAGAAGGAAATGCCCGCTCTCTCGGTTGCGATCCAAAGAAAATACAGTGACATGATTCAATGTGTCCGTGCCGATGCAAATTCGGCTCAAAAATGGGCCAGGAATGGGTCGGCAGGCGGACGAAAAGCGAACGCACGTCTCTTTGGGTCGGCACGTTGGGCCGACTTTTCTATTCATGTCAACCCAAACGGACGCGCGCGGACGAAATGGGTCGGCGCATTGGAGTTGCTCTTAGAGGCTCAACCCCAGTGTGATGAGAACCTGCGAAGATTACACTGGAAGAAAGCAGGCAGCAGATCCAACCCCCTCCGCCTCAACGAAAGTGCAATCCCCTGCAAAGAAATCTACAACTCACTGCGCTTTTCTAGTGAAGAAAACCAAGGCTGTCGAAGTTGCAACGAAGAAAAGGAAGAATTCATACATTGCTGAGAAGCCACCGAAGAAAAAAGAGAAGTTTGGCACCAAAGGTCGGTGCACATGTCTTCGTGACTCCCCAAACAACTACACCAGCTGTCTAGACTAATTATTCAGAGAATGCCACGCGAGACATTGTTTCTTATGCAACATTCCTTGAAGAATCTCGTCGTATCGGTGACACAGAAATGGTCATTCCTGAAGAGTTAGGGTATCATCTCCACCCAATGTCGTAAATGTTGAAGGCGGCCAAGATGTTGATATTGATGGGGATGTAACACCCCATATCTATGATAGAGTTTTGGGAGTCACAAAAACCCAGAACCCCAATCAAAGGTGCTACTCCTTCTGTCAAATCTCCAAAATTAGCCTTCGATCTTGCTGCCATGGTTGTTGATGAAGAATTGTAGCGATCACCTCTCCAAAGACTTCACAAAATTCAATTTCACGAAGATTGGGTCATCCTAGTGGCTTGCCACGTAACATTAGCATAAGTCATTTGTCAAGGCACCTTCACCCATTACTAGACCGTAAAGGCGTGCGTTGCCACGCCCATCCATCCTAAAACAAATATATAGACATGTTAATGAAACTTATTAGACTTTGGAAACATTTGATAAAAATTGAACGATTCAAATTAAAAGCGTGTCGATATAAGTAGTGCGACATAATTGTCAACCATTAGTTAGAATCAATCCACTAATGGCATAAATCCTTTGTGGTTTACTTTTTTCCTATATCAAATTCATCCAAAGAAATGAATGAGAAATAGACATAACAAAAAAATGTACAACATTCTATCTTCTGGAGGCTAGCCTTGTCTGGTTTTTGAACATGATTCAACTGTCCAAGAGAAGTACTTTGGTGGAATATCCCCATAGAATTGGCTATCTTCCCAAATAAAATGGGCATGTTGCAGCAGGCACAGATGGTATTCAAAAACAGGACCCTTAGACGTGTACCGATCTTCCATCGGAGTTTTTTTTACTAAAAAGAGAGCACTTAAAGAGGCAGTCGTTGTACGTTTTTAACTCAATCTAGTAAGTCAGTACCAGATCCCTCTTCACCAGCGTAATCCTCAAATGTTCAATAATCAAAATAGTTCAAATTCTTGTAATAACTTGTAGTTTACTAGAAACATGATATATTATGTTACAAGGACAAAGAGCTTACACTACTGCGTGGAATCCACCAGACTCCCAAACCCTCCCACAAGATCAACTCGCATCCTCACCTAAACTCTGAAATTGCACCATGAATTTTCATTATTTAAGTAATAATTAAACATCCCAATTCAGAAAGAGATAAAACATTATACTATGGCAATAAAAGGTATTCGCTATAGTTTACAGACATTCCGTTTGTAGTTTCTTGATGGTGTGATCATGTTCGTATGGAAACAAAGTAATTGCGCAAATAATGACAGAAACAATAAATTCTAGAGCAAGCAAAATAAAAAATAATGACGGAACCATCTTTATGATTTTCAAAGATAAGAAAATGTAAATTACAACTTAACTTAATTATAATTAATTATCTGGTTCTAGTTTAAATACAGGTAATACAAAAATGCATACGATTATGTCCCTTGAATGCCTTTTTTCATTCACAGTTGCAACTCATTCAAGAAACAGGAAGACAAACTTTTGATTCCCTTCCTTGTTTCATTATCCCATCTTGTAAGTAAGAATCTGTAAAAGAAAAATAGAAAATAGACGATGTAAACAAAATACCATCTTTGCAGAGAAAATTATATTATGAGCGTCTCCTGAAACCTGCTGAAATGCACATTTGAAGATCGAAGAGGAGACTGAGATAACACAGGAAAGAGCTCAATGAGTAGCAAGCAGCAGGGAAGAAAAAAGATGGGAGGAAAGTCAAGTGGACATAACGACGTGAGCTAATCGCTTTGCTTCTCTTTGTATCAATCCAAGGCGCTCTTCCTGCTCCTAAACGACATAGGAAGCGGCAAGTAGGAGGGGCTAGGGCGCTTGAGGAAGGAACCACAACTGGCGCTTGAGGAGGCTATGGCGGCGGCGACGGCGGTGAGGAAGGCACCGCAGACGCAAATTCATGAAAGAGAGGCAGGGGATGCAAAGTACAAGCTAGACACCATATGGGCCTGTATTTCAGCTAACACGGTTGGTTTGGCCCGATTAATGAGAGGACACCTAGGTTAGCCTGCGGAGCAGCGGCCCTGAGCCGGGCGGGCCGCGCGAGTAAGGACGTGAAAAACAGGTAGAAGCTATTCGACGCGCGGTAGATGGATCTGGAACGTCCAGTATTGCGATCCAACGGTCGAAAACATTAAATCGCAGTGAGAACATCGTAGCTCGCCCCGTTTTACTGTTTCTCAATAAGACCTCTATGGGGATGTACTCTCATAACACCTTCACTTGAATAAACTCAAGGGGATGGCACTAGAGCTCTTGGGCCTATTTATAGCCCCCAAGTTCCTACTAGAGTTTGAGTCTGAGGATACCGAAAGTTGTTTCCACTACAACACTAAGTTTTATCTACACCATCCGTTCCTAAATATAAGGTTTTTTAGGCATTTTAAATAGACTACAACATACAGATGTATGTAGACATATTTTAGAGTATAGATTCACTTATTTTGCTCCGTATATAGTCACTTGTTGGAATCTCTAGAAAAACTTATATTTGGGAACGGAGGGAGTATAATATGTAGTGTAAGAAAAACGCTCTTATATTATGTGACTTAGGCAGTGGTATTTTTGCCATTAAAGCAGTTATTTTGCCAATCGGCTCTTTTTGGCGACTCTGCTAGAGTTGCTCTTAGTTTGCAAGTGAATTTGATTTGAATTACTCCCTCTGCCCTACAATGTAAGACATTTTCTGACGCTAGTGTACTGTCAAAAGACGTCTTACATTATAAGACGGAGAAAGTATATAATACTACCACATAGTTTGTTTGCCCTACGTTTCTAAACAGAAACTGGCCTGCAACTATTCTGCGTGAAAAGCTTAGACATCTTCACGCCTCTCTTTTACATCATGTATCCATCCAAATTAACCAAGCTGTCTAGTCCTATAGCATAAACTCTGCTACTCACGGATTGCACACAGTTTAGATACAATTCTCACAACGAATCTCGGAAGGAGAAATAGGATCATCACAGGACGAGTATCAAAACTTTTGGTGAATATACTCTCACGGAATTTCCTTTATCGGGAGTATGTGCAGAATTGAAGCTTGGGAATTTTCAGTAAATCGTTTGCAGCCGCTGCTCTGCCACACCACTTTCTTTCTCAATGTATGAAGTCCTTAGAATATCAGGTTGAGGAGATCTTGGTGCAGGCAAATATGATGGAATGGAGTCAAACTTATGACCAGGGGAAGCAGCGGCAGCTTCGGCCATGAAGTTCTGGAAAGCAACACAGTCGTCAGGGGAGCAGAAGGGCAACAATGATGTTTGTAAGGCAAAATGTGATGCAAAAGCAACACATTTTGGAGTCCCAACATAACAGTAGTAGGACACTAGAGAGCAAAAGGCAAGATGTGATAGAAAAACAAGTAAATTGGAGCCAAAACCATTTTATTATAATGATCACAATTCAAAATTAATGTTCTGTTTCTAATGCCAAAGTTCTAATTCCAAACATCAACTATAAAATGATGTGGTACTTTAAGTAGTGTATTTTTATGTACAAAGAGTAGTGGAAAAGCATAGCTGAAACTAACTATTAAGGAATATATTGTAGAGATAACAAAAGAGATGAAGAAATTTGTTGATGTTATCTAAAACCGAAACTGCATCTGAACCAATTGACCCGAAAGAAACCAGTTTAGTTGAAATAGTCTACCAGAAGTAGTCACCGGGCCTGTTTAGCCATGCATTCAGACCGGTCAGTAAGGACTTGAAGAAAACTAGCATGGATTCTATTCTCAGATAGGCTGTGATAAAGAGGACGGGCTGAGCCCTAGACAGTAGACCAAACACAGGCATCCAATTAAGAGAAGTAATTTTCAGTTTTTCAGCAAACAAAGGATTGGAAGCAGCACCTTATGCTTTACATACACAACCATGGAGTCAACCACAAGTATTTCCCTGCCATAACAAGATGAAGTCCTACCTAAAAGATAAAGCTGTTACTTAACAGAGTACAATTTCATAGAGAAGTCACTGTTACCTTTATCAGTTGTTCTGCAGTCTGAACATCTGTTGCAGAACTTCCATTGATTTCAATAGACATTGCATCCTCCTCCAAATCGTTTATCAAGATGCTCGATCTGCTAGCGCGGCGAATGTAATCAATTCTTGCACCAGTCGGGCCAATCACGGCTTCAGCATAGATAATTGGAACTTGCATCTTTTCAGTAACCTGTCAATTGTCAAATAATCCACCATCACAAACATATACTAATTATTGTTGTGAAGAAAAACAAAACATGTAGGTAAGCTTAGAAACTCTACAACACAAACTATACAAACCTGTGCAGTGATTGCTGGTGATTTACTAGTTAATGGACGCACAAGCACATGTGAAGGTGCTTCTGGGCCACACGCAGACACACGACAGTGCAGAAGGTTTTCCACAGTGGCTGGTGGATGCATCCTCAATGATTGAGATGCTTGCAGTTCATATTCAGACATACCACGAGGTGTCGGTAGATCAGCAGCTGCGGATGGAGATACCCTGCTGGTATGAGATTCACCTCCATATAATGATATTCCCGGGTGTGAACGTTTTCCCATTGTAGCCGATTGACATGTCTTCCTCAGTGAATGTGCTTGGTGACCATGCACGGATATAAGGGAGCGTATTCTTTCAACAGTAGCTGATGCACCGATTGGTGAAGTTGCTCGTAATTCATATGCTGTCAGGTTGTGGTGTGAACCTAATTCAATAGGAGCTGATAGGTATGTTCCCTTGGGTGGTGAAGATGTTTCTTGTCCATACACACTTATACCATGGTGTGGAGGTGTAACTGATCGATATCTTCCAAAAGAGGTAGGAGCTTCGACAGGATTCCTGCATCTCATGTAGTAAGTTTCAGTCCATTGGGGTTCACGCTGATGATCGTCGGAATGGCAGAGTGGACTAACTGCTTCCAGACAGCCTTCGGGGTGGTCACTGTAGTAAAGCGGGGGCATTCCCTCAGGATGGTCACTGTAATGACATTGGGGCATTTCCACATGTAACATCGACAAAGGCACCTGAAGATATAAGAGTTCCTCTGAATCAAATATTGGGTAGTGTAGAAAGCGGTGGCAACGGATCGGATGCGGATCGGATAGTCCTCCTAACACTTCGATTTTCATATTTTCGGAACAAATACGAATGCAAATACGGATGTTATGGATACGAATGCGGATCGAATGTTACTCGAATACGGAGGCATATCGGATGTTTACTCAATTAAGAACAGAAAAGAATAATAGTGACACATTAGTTAAAGGAAATGAGTCAATAGCTATGTGACAGAAAATAATCAACTTGAAACACATAATAAGTTAATGGTAGACATGTTAATGAATAAATACTACTATAATGCATAATAGTTTTTAAGTTTAAGCATACAAAAAGTAAATTTAACAACTTATTAAGCTTTTATATTGGATAATTGGCATATTGGGGCTAGACTTGCTTAAATTAGCTCACGGAATTTTATTCGGATACAGATATATCCACTTCCATATCCATATTTGTGCCAAAATCCAGTACCACATTTGTATTTGTATTTGTAAAAAATAAACCCGGATATCTTCCATTTCCATTTTAGTTTGGACGTGGATGTTTCGGATACGAATATGCATTTTCTCGAATACAATTGTCGGATATTTCAGATTATCCGCCACTTCCCACCCTTAAAGAATCTACTATAACTTTCAATGGCTGTTACAAGAGTAATGTTCAAAACAGTGGCAACTACTTACATGAGGGTCAAACAATGGGATAACACTTCGATCAACCAGGTACTTCCTCAAATGAGAAGCAACAAGTTCCAAAGCCTTCCGCACGCGTGCAGGTTGTCCCCATATTTCAACAATCCTATCTTTTTCAAGTGCAACAGGCGGCAAGTCACAATCTGCATGGTCAAAGCACGCAAGGAATGACATACTGGCTAAAGGACACTGGATGCTGGAACAATAAACCCCATAATAACCACCGTCCGTTCAAATAAGTGACGTGGTTTTAGTTCAATTTTATTTTAAAAAGATAGTATATGATCCAAAGGACATCAACTGAAAGAATGGCATACTGAAACTGCTTATCATCGTATCGAAAAGATAGTAACTCGAGGTAATAGCAACTTTCTGTTAAAATAAAAGTGAGCTCGGCATAAGGGTGAACCCACTTTTGGCTAAATGATGGATGCAGTGGAAAACTTAATTCATCTCATTTTTAACAGATGATGCATTCTCTTATTTGAACTCATTGTAGAAACAGTTTCTTGCCGTAGCATTCAGGCAATCTTTTGGTGATAGGTGCATATGACTACAGTACTAACACACAAGTCAAGCAAATCAGTTACACAAAAATCAAAGGATACATGATTGGATGGTTGGTAGGACTTAGAATTTGAAGTACACATTGTACTCTATCGAAACCCTCTACATGTAGATTAATACACGTGCAAATTATACCTACATTGATTGAACTATCTTCTTCTGCCTTCAGTAGCAACTTGACTGATTTCTCCATAACCAAACTAATAGGGAAGCAAGCCCAACATTTTCAAGTAGCACACATATACATCATTAAGGCACAAACCAATACTACAACTGCACAACATTTCAGAACTGCTTTTCAGCCTATGATTGACACATGCAACCTTGTTTGAGAAAATATACTAATGTAAAAGCAACAAAACATCATATGTTTTCCAAATTTCAGCTTTGCGCCAACTAAGTAACTATATGGTTAAGTAAGCCACAATTCATGTTCCTTATTGACAGACATCAACAGTTCAACTCCATAAGTGCATATCATCCACAGAATCACATGTATACTAGTACATTATGACAAATCAATGATATGGATACAAGGAAGCAGTGGATGTGGATAAGTGAGCTTACAGGTAGACCAGAAAAAATAACATACCAAGGACATAAATGTTAGTTTTGGAAGCTTCCTCGATAGAATATATCATCAAACCTTGCTCCCCGATAAGGCTCACTGCCTGTTCACTTGGTATAAGGATCCGTGCCACAACTGTACTATCAGACCCCATGTTTAAGCCATCATCATAAATTATGTGCTGATATACTCTCAATAGTGCATCCATGGCTGGAGGTATTAATTCATCTGGTTGCTCCTTTGCGAAAATGATAACCTTTCAATGAAAAAGATGAAATATTTTTTTAGGACAACTGAAAGACGAATCATGTCTCCTTTCCATAAACTGAAGTCCATCGGCTTTAGGACCACTGTATTGCAAAACATGCCTTCTTCCATATGCTGATATACACTAAGAAAGGAAAATAAGTAAAGAATGTGTGGTATAAAAACCAAAAAAGGCAAGATGCAGCAATGATGGAATACTAAGCATTAAGCTAAAGAACTATTAAATCCGTAGCAGCCAGTTCCCTGCTAGAGTGCAACATACTAGAGTGTTAACACAGCATGCTGAGAAAATAAAGTCCACATCTCCATGCGAATTACTAGTTGATTGTTAAGCCAAGACAGATGGGGCCAGAAATTTAGTGTAAACAGGTCTAAATTCAAAAAAAGGCTTGGTTGCAACGGAAAATAACGCAAGGTATATATGGACAACGAACACCTATGTCAACAATTAAGAAAATTCTACCATATTTTAGACATAAAAAGAATACAAAGGTGTGTTTTCCAATTAATTAGGTTAAATCCTTAGGTTGATCAAGTAGAAACAAGATATCTGTTCAATCAACAACTTACAGCTCTTTCTGCCCCCGCAAGATGACCACCTATTATACGGATACATGCTTTTGTTTCCTCGCACAGTCTTCTAACCCTCTCTCCTTTGTAACCAATTATCGGACCGAGCTTTGTAGCAGAAATTAGCATCCTGAAGACTGTAGTTCCAGGCCAATCAGGGTACCTATTTTCACCAGCAGAGCAAGTGGTATCGTCACCAGGGCCTACATCATCAGTACTGCCTTGTCCCGTAACAGTCCCGAGAGCTTCCTTCTGAGATTTCCTGACCATTTGAGTAACCCACCGCTCTGTTGAATTTCTCTGCATCTCAGTCATTCCCACCAAGCACTGAAGCATCACAACAGATAGACAAATACAATAGTGAAAAACTGTGTGCACTTTAGCTATTCCCAGTAGCACTGAAGCATCACAACATAAAGTGATGAGGGCATCCCTAGCTCTTTACCATCTTCTCATGTTGCTGATCAAGTCACTATTCAAATAAGCTTAATGATTCATGTATTGGACCAATAACAAGAGCACGTGCCAACAGGAGTGGACCCAGCGAAAAAAAGACCCGGTGTCTATACTATGCATGACATATAGCAAGGAAATTTCTTGGACCCGGTGTCCTGTGCACCCCTATGGTTGAACCTGGGTACGCCCGTGCGTGCCAAGTTACTATCACAACAGGTGAATTCTCTCTTAATTGATTTTGACAATTTAAATGATGAGGACTTTATACTGCCTAAATCCCTGTATCTTTGCATGATTAGGTTCGAAGCATCGGAGAACATGAGCAAGGAGTGGAACATGTTGACATCTAACAATAAGGTGTGCACGAGGAGGCATGGGGAGAAGTGGTGCCATCATCAAATGAAGAGAACACAAGATGGAAACACGATATTCCCTTCCAGATTCGGATTGACTGCCAGAAAGTCCATAATTGAAATAGGTGCAGAATGTGTATGCGTGCTTCAAATAAGGCAAATAAATAAAATTTGGATCCCCTAAAAAAAAAATACATTTTGGAAAGCTGGATCTGTGTGCTTTCCAAACTGTATGCTGCCAGCCTTTGATTCGAAGAGATTGAGTAGGTATCTTCAAAAGAATACGTCGGTGCTAATCTGAGTTTCCAAACAGAGTCATATGAGTTAGGAAAGTTATAGCTCGGTTTGTTTTCGACTCCAACCTTTGAGCATCCAGAAGTCTTTATATACCCTTGTAAGTCGTGGCTTGGAGGTCAGACCACGTTTAGACTATTGTAAAACTCCGGAGAACTGCGCAAACATTCATCTGAATTCCTATACACCAAGTTCATTTCAACAGGGTGCATTTTCTACCGAAAATTTGGGCGTCATCTGTTGTTCCGCTGGGAACTAGGAACTGCTTGTGCTCGGAGGATCCTTACGCAAGTTTGTGGTGTTGCGAATTTCTGACGGGTTGCGAATCGTTGCATCTGGCAGCAGGTGAATAGCCAAAGAAATTGCAGAATTACACAAGTTATCTACGTCGGTCTCTGAGAACGTCGGGTCATCCCGTATGATAAAGACAAATACAATACTGAAAAAACTTGTGCATTTCACACATTCCCACTAGCACAGATAGAAAAGCACAACCATAAAAGCGAACCTAGGAATAAATGGGTAACAGCTAGTAGGATTTTTCCTGTTAAGCTAAATCACATTTGTACCGAGATAAAGACTGAAATCAAGAA